GATCATGAGCACACGGAAGGTGGCTCAGAAAATCCCTGGGGAGGAGACTGGGGTGGTTAAGATGCACACAGACTCTGGGTTCAGGGGCAAACCCGCAGGCTCTTCTCATTATCTCTAGAGCCTGGAAAACCTTGCTCTGTAGCCAGGCAGACTTGCCAGCATTGCAGTGATGCTCAGCACATAGCTCCAATTGTCCCTCTGGGTGCAGGGTTGACAGGTCAGGGAAGGTATTGGTGACACCGCCCCTCACCCTGGTGGTGTGTGGAGACACCCTGGGGGAAAGCTGGTGTCCTCAGGATGTGCTCTGAGCAGGTGGCACATGAGGCCAGCACCCCATGGGCAGCAGTCACTTGGTTCCGACAACACAGAGGAAGATAAGGCCCTGTTCTGCTTCACCCAGTTCTCCCGAAACCCAGCGCTGTGGCACTGCCCAGATGCTGCCTTCCTTTCTGGAAAGGCTTGAAACTTTAATAGTAGTATTTCACCAACACACACAAGGAATATCTGTTGTCTTTGTTGTTTTCTCAGACATAACACAGGTCTTGGTATGGTGCCTTGATGTCACTTGAGCCAATCCTATTTTAGAGATATAAGTCCATGCTGGCAAATTTTCTGAATGCTTTGTATTCATAACTCCAGGAAAATAATGAAACAGAAGAGATGCCATTAAATAGGAAAACATTGGAGAAAAGAAGGTCATTTCATGACTATTTAAAAGATCATATTTTATTGATTGAACACAAATCCCTTATTTCTCTTTAGTCAACCATTTTCTTGACAAGACCTTCAAAATACAACATAAGTGAGAAAAAGTGGCACACAGGAGAGTATTCACACCACACACACAGCACACGTGTGTGCCGAGTGTCTCTGGAAGGGCACAGGAGAAAGTGCTTATAATAGTTACCTGTAGAAAAGGATTTATTTTTCCTGTAGACCCTTTTGCACTTTCTAATGTGTACATATTCATACTCAAAAAATATCATGGAAACTGTGTGAGTTTATGTGAATAGAAAACATTTTAAATAGGATGAAATGGAGAGAGGGCTAAAAGCAGTCTGGGTTGCAGATGAGCAGTAGGTTGGGAGAGTAGCTGCTTCTCCCTTGTTTTCAGGACACAGCCCTGCTGCACACAGGGGGGCCCAACCCATTGAGGAGCACGAATAACCTTTTCTGCAGAAACCCTGCACACCATGGATTAGGCTGAACTTGAAGCAGAAGAACACTGTTGTGCAAACCTTTAAATAAAAAAAAATGCTTCTGGCAGTGTATTAAAGTTTAAGGTCACTCCAAAGGACTATCATTCGTAAGAGAATGAATTTAAAATACCCTGTGCTCCACCTGGCACGGTGGCTCCTGCCTGTAATCCCAACACTTTGAGAGGCCGAGACTGGCGGATCACCTGAGGTTGGAGTTTGAGACTACCCTGACCAACATGGAGAAACCCAGTCTCTATTAAAAATACAAAATTAGCCGGGTGTGGTGGCACATGTCTGTAATCCCAGCTACTCGGGGGGCTGAGGCAAGAGAATCACTTGAACCCAGGAGGTGGAGGTTGTGGTGAGCTGAAATCACGCCATTGCACTCCAGCCTGGGCAACAAGGGTGAAACTCCATCTGAAAAAAAAAAAAAAAAAAGAATCCTGTGCTCGCTCTGGAGAAGTTTCTTGATGGTCACGACGTTTCCAACAAAATACTTAAGAATGATGGTTTCTTTAATTTGGGAATGGGGACGAGGCTTTTCATTTTGACTTTCTCTTTTCATCCTAGCATTGGGAGTAGCTAGGCAGGATGTTCTTTTCAAGTGTGGCACCACTTTGCTCCTGTCTCCCTAGAGTTCAACATGTTCCACATGATCGCCGTGGGGCTGAGCAGCTCCATCCTTGGCTGCCTCCTCACCCTGCTCGTCTACACCTACTGCCAGCGGTACCAGCAGCAATCCCACGATGCGACTGTCATCCACCCCGTCTCACCCGCCCCCCTTAATACCAGCATAACCAACCACATCAACAAACTGGACAAGTACGACTCGGTGGAGGCCATCAAGGTAAGGAGTCGGCAGCGACAGTGGTGTGCACTGAAGGTGTGCACAGAAGGCGGGTGGACCCTGCCTTTATTATTATAAAAACGATCTTTAAATAATGTTCAAGCAGAGTAAAGGCTTTTCAACTCTGCATAATGTAAAATTGCTGTACCTGGCGTTGGGTGATGTGTGTTCTTAATTTCCCCCACGAGTAATTAATCCAGGATGTGACCCGGGAGTTTAGAGTAAATGGTTAGTTCCCTTCACATTCTGAGAAGGAAGTGGGGTGGGTATCAGCTTAGAACCTCACAGGCCTGGCTCATGGGTGGACATCAAGTATACCTGGGTAAACCTGTGCTAGTTCTTTTCATTCACTCAGCCACCATTTTCTCCTCTATAAACTGGAGATAATGAGAATTAAATGGGGTCATTTATCTAAAATGCTTTGAACAGTGCCTAGGAAAATAAATGTGGTTTTTACTTGAGGCACTTCGCATTATGGTTCAGAGTACAAATTACTTACTTCTTTGAACCTTAGTTTCTTTATCTTTAAAATGGATATGAGAGTACATGCTCCTGTATTGCTGTTGTGAGGTTTAAATGTCCTAAAGAATATGAGGCTTTGTTCTAACTGTGTATACACAGAGGTGAGGGTGTAGCTGGAAAGATGTCAAAGGCTTCTGTCCCTTGCACCCAACCTCCCTTATTACCCACATGAACGAAGGGAAATCTCCTGAGCTAAGTGTAAGTAAATTTTGATATTCCTGCTAGGTGCCTGGTTTCCCATGACACTCGGAGGGAGTATTTTGATGCCTTTTCTCTCCTGTGGTGGTTTCCTTTGAAATCGAATTTTCTCCCTCTGTGAGAATAAGGACTATCTTTAGCCCTTGCGACTTCAGGTGGCTGGGAGACCTTATGTCCCAGGAGCCACAATGTCCATACTTGTCTCCTCTCAGCCACATGGCCTCTATTTTCCACCACCTGGATGGAGACACGCCAATTAACTTTTCCCCTTGGACCCTGCTTAAACCAAGATCCACAAGCCATGAGCATCTCCCCGCTTACTCAGATGGTAGATCTGGGGAATGGACACCAGGAATTAATAACAGGCCCTTGCTAGCCTCTCAGAAATGAGCCCCTAGAGTAGGGAGGAAGCTAGAAGAGGAGCACGAGCTTCTTCCATGAACAAGAGCTTTCAAAACAAACATTTGGATCTTAAGGAAAGGGTTCTTCTGAGCGTGATTCCAACACATCATCTTGTCTCTGGTCACTGTTACTACGGGCATCAGAAGGCAATTTACCCAGTCCTGTGTTCCCACTGAAGATTCAACAGCCATTTTTAAGATAATCAGAAATGTTTCTGCCATGAAGGTAAAGGACCTTGAAGGCACAGACAGCTGCCCAGTCTTTAATGAATCCTGCCAGAACATTTTTCTGATACTTTGCCCAGACTAATCCTGGACAGATGGCCTCTGGGCACCCTCCTTCATCTTCATTTTATTCCTCTCCATATAGATCTTCTATCTGGCTCAGTTGAGGCTCTTTGAAACTGCAGGTGACTTTAATGACTATGCACAGAAAATGGCTACAGTGATCACCTTCTAACAAGTTCAGGATGAAAAGCAATTAAGGCATTTGAAACCTGATGCCCTTACTTAAATAAGTTCCATCAAGGTCTCTGATAAATGTACGCACCCACAGTCATCTGAAAGCTACTTACATATCTATTCAGTTATATGAATATGAATTCAGTTACATATATTCAGTTACATTCAAACTGTCTGTGAATTTGAAATCATTAGAGTTTTAGGTTTTCTAGAGATTTAGAATTGGGTTTTCTAACCCCCTGCTTCTCTTCGTAACTTCATAGCTAAAGTTGAAAACTTCACCAGAAGATATCACAAACTGCCAACCTTATTCTGGTAATTAGGCAAGTCCTCCATGAGGCAAATCATCTGGGGAAGCAAATAAATAAGAAAACATATTTTAAAATAATGGAGCCTTAGCAGAGAGCTCAAATTCAACATAATAGTCATCCTCATTTACTTAGCATTCTTAAACCTGTTTTTTTTTTTAAATATATTTTCCAGGCATTTAACAAAAACAACTTGATCCTAGAGGAAAGAAACAAATACTTCAACCCACATCTCACTGGGAAGACCTATTCTAACGCCTACTTTACAGATCTCAATCATTATGATGAGTACTAACAGTTCTTATGTTTTTGGCTTCTTGTAAATCCCCAGTTCCTCAAGGCCTGTGCCCCATGACTGCCCATGTTTCTGAGGCTTCAGAGTTGAAGTTTGGATACATTTCAAGTGCATTTCAAGCCACCAGAGTGTCCCATTGCTGCCAAAAATACACAGTTTTAAAAGCAACAAAAATTGAAATAGGACATCGTGAAAATCTTGACCGTTGTTGAATGAGTCAGGGTGTGAAGTTTTTAATTGTGTTCATCCTATTTTTCTGATAAGTCCCTTGGTTTGTTTTTTGAGCTTTATTTTATAAATGTGCCACCCACATTGGAAGGAGTCTTTAGAAATACGAATGTCTTCTTGCTTTGGGGTTTAAATCTTCATGATGTTTTAATTCAAGAAAATAGGCACTTTTTCTGAAAGACCTGCTCCCTCCACAAGAAGTGCTTAGGTCCATAATATTTCAAAACATGAAGAAAAAGAATGTGGCCAAACAATTATTCACCATGGATCGCCCAACTTCCCAAATGTGGATAAAGCTATGGGATTCTTGGAAGCAGCTTGTGTGTTTTCATCTTGCCTGGGAAGCGCAGGAATTCTACCTGGCCCACATCTGCAGAGGTTACAGTTGACTGTGAGGCATCTCACCTTGCTCCTGATGCAGTTTCTGTGCCATTGCTGGTGGAGGGAGCGGAGCAGAGGCGCAGGCGCAAGGAAGCGTGGATGTGTTCTGCAGGTTGCTGCAAAACTCCCCTTATTCTGACTTTTGGATTTCATGGCATTCTAGGAAGTTCCTTGCCATGCTGTTGACCTGGAAGCCCACCCGTCTGGTCCATAGTAATGTCCTGAAGAGCCAGTCTGTAAAATAACCAACCACTTACTTAGCGTTTGGATAGACTCCACACCTCCTCTCTCCCTGCAAAGAAAAGTCTTGAACATTTATGATGTCAATTAGTGAAAGTATTGAAAATACTAAATTATAACTAAAAGCAACTTTTTTATGTTATAGAGAATATTGAAATAACTGATATTAATGATAATGTTTTATTTTTCATCTCTCTGATATAACCAATGTGTGGGCAATCAGCCCCTACCAAGAGCATTAATGCCATGTAAAGCTGGCTTTCTGGAGTCCACCAAGTCCATACGAAGTGGTACCCCCAGTTTCTGCTGTTACTTGCTGCCTCCAGGCCAGGGGAGCAGGAGATGCTCAGCTCTGGTGCCTTTTCTTTTATTTCAGTGCTGCCTTCCCACCCACCCAGTCCATCCACCCTCGCCTCTCCCTGCATGGAGGCAACAGCATTTCAAGATGCACCTTGGAAAGTCAGGATAGCTGGAAGTAAGGGTTTTTTGGGATCCCTGTGGTCTCATCATTGATCATCGATAAGCATTTAAGAGTGTGATAACACCATTCACAGAGGTCCCCGGAAAAAAATATATACTTTTCTCACAAACAACTGATACATAACATATGGCAGTTAGTTGAATAAATATTGAAAATAATAACACGACTGAAAAAGTTCATCTGATGCCTCTGAGCATGTGATAAAGTCCTGGGTAGACATGGAAATGTGTTCTTACTGACAAATGAACCTTCAGATCTATGAAAAAATATATAGTAGGGGTACTAAGGAACACAGAATTTTATTAGCATATGTGCTTTTACCCTTACCCTAGTTTCCAATTTAAAGAAACAATTTCAGAAAGTGTTAGAAGAATTCTATGTTTAATAATGAATATTGTTGAGTTCAAAATATAAATATACCCAAATTTACAGAAATGACACGGTATTGAAATGGCAGGTGGGCTCTGTAAGTTCTTTTGGATTGCAAGTAAATGACATTCAGGGTCTTTGCAGTGGGGACTTCATGTTGCCTCTCACGCATTCCTCATATGTCAGAGTCTTCTGTCTATATACACATGATCAAAGCCCATACTCAGTAGGGGAAATCTAGCCAGCTTGTTCTCTAATTGTTCCTAGGTTGGATTTTCATCAGGTATTTCAACTCATCTCATCACTTTCTTGTAAGAAAAAAAAAAATCACTATGTAGCACATTTTAGTTATTTTTTAGTCTTCTTCCCTAACATTTTGTAAGCTTAAAGGGACATTTTATTTTCCCTGGGAAAGAGAATTCTAATATTTCAAGAATACTTCACTGGAATTGATGGGAAATGGTTTCTAAATGCCATCGAAGCTGGTCTTTAATGAATATTTTGCAGTGACTTGGGAAAACACCCTCCCTCGCTACAGGATCTTCGTGTTGTTAATAATATAAACCTTTGAAATTAGCATTGCAAAAGAATCCCATTTTTGTTTCCTACCACATTGTTCACAGGAACATTGTTTCTCTCTCTTCCTTTCTTTCTCTCTTTTATTTGACAGAATAGCAAGTGTTTAGATAATTTCAGGTATATTCTAAGTATTTTTACCAGCTGTGGAATAAGTTGTGTTTCTCCATCACTGTGTAGCTCCCGTTCATGTGTTCTGGCTCCATACTCCACGCTTAATGAGTGAACCCTTCCACGTTGGGCTTTCACAGTGCGATCTCTCCCCTGTGTTGGAACCTCCTTCATAAAGCCGCTCTTCCTTAGGACTGGGCTGTTTGGGAGTCCTGGTGAAACTTTGTGGTTCACATTTTAAATTCCTGAATGACCTTTTCAATCTCTCTTTATCTTTGTTTTTGTCCTTCATTCCCTCCTTTTGTTCTTCCTTCCTGCCTTCCTGCCTTCTTTTCTTCTTTCCTTTCTTCTTTAATTCTTCCCTTATTCTTTTTCTTTTTTTCTTTTTTTTTTTTTGGTACAAGTGGAACAAAAAGCAACAAATAGTTTTAAGCTACACCTGTCTGCACCTGATGTAAAATGACATTAATCACTATTTAACTTCTAAAGTTATTTCTGAATACAGTTGGAGATTGGCTGGTTTTCATGAGGAAGCTGGCTTTAGTCTTACATTTAAATTCTTTGAAAGTGACTCCCAGTGCTATTCAGGGTCCTTTCTTGAGGCTAGACTCATCACCATCTAATATTGATTTTACAGTGTACTGACAGTTTACAGGAAGGAGAACAGAATTTCTGTACACTGTACAACATGTGGGCTTCCTTTAGCTCCAGGGACATGTGACTTTGGTGAAAACTGGGATTTTGTAACCTCTGAATGATATGGACTTAGTGAATTCTAAGGAACTCGGGGGCACATGGTCAGGCTCCACCGCACGGAAGAGCCATAGTCTTCAGACTCATGGCATTCCTTCCAGAACTCCCCATTCCACTCCGAGCATATTTCTATGCTGCTGCTTTTTGTGACTTATATGAGGCATCTCAGCTTCCTCATATGTGTAAAGATGTTTCCCTAAGCCTGTTCAAGTAGACTCTCGCTAGAGTTAGCATTCATATTTGAGGGAAATAAAGAGCATTTAATGTGTTTGTGTGGGGCTGAGGTTCTAAAAGAATTGAAAAGAGATGATGAACATTGAATGAAGGTGAGGGCATCCCTGCCGGGGAGAAACCTCTGTCCCTAGGGAGAGTCCATTCATATGTGCATATGGTCTGGGATGAACCAGGGCTCTGGCCCCATCGGGTCACAGGTGATGGCAAATAGAAAAGAAGCAAATGAAGGAAACAGTTGGATAAGTAGGTGACATGAAAGGTGGGACCTGGTTACCTCTGTGAGTGCTATGGACAGTTCCCAGAAACGGTGGCCCACTTCACAGGTCCATGGGTCTGACCCTTGGACTCTGCCAGGATCAACTGCCCTGAGTGCCACAGTTTTAGTCAAGGGCGTCCTTTCTTCCTCATTCATCTGCAAAAGGATGGAAATTGTGGGAGTCAGAGCCTATTTTGCTGAGTGTTCCCACTGGAGTCTCTGGTAGAATTAGTGAGTCATGCTGTCAAAGTCATGGACAAAGGCTGGGTGCCCTGGCTCATGCCTATAATCCCAGCACTTTGGGAGGACACGGTGGGCGGATCACCTGAGCTCAGGAGTTTGAGACTAGCCTGGGCAACATGGTGAAACCCTGTCTCTACAAAATATGCAAAAAATTAGCCAGCCATCGTGGTGCACGCCTGTGGTCCCAGTTTCTTGGGAGGCTGAGGCTGGAGGATCGTTTGAGCCCTGGAGGTTGAGGTTGCACTGAGCTGAGATCATATCACTGCACTCCAACCTGGGTGACAGAGAGAGACCATGTCTCAAAAAAAAAAAAAAAAAAAAAGCAAAGTCTCAATAACATTCTCCATGTCCCCAAGTGGCCCTCTAAGAGGATCCATTAGCATATAATCGAATATCAAAGGGAATTTTACCTTAAACATATATCAAGTCTATACTTAGCTAATCATTTTGTCTAAACACAGCCTTGTTGGCATTTGAATTTACAAATATTCATTTGCTTATTTGCAGTGTTCCTTTTGCTTTTAGAATAAATCATAAATATTTCCCCAATACTGTCAAGATATTTAGTCATCAACGTTGTCCCTGGGCCATCAGCTTTCTTTAGGCTCCGGGTGTCGTTTACATTTCAATGGGGTTTTCTTGTATGTGGCGTTGGGGTAACTCCACTGACCTCAGCATTTCTATCTCAAGAGATGGCTCTGGAACACAGAACCAGAGGCAACAGGTACCAGTGGTTGATAAAATAAACTGCAACTGCCTGACCATTTTCCACGTGGCAGGGCTGTGCTTAAGCCCCACACCTCCAATAATCAATGTCTATGACGGTATTAATAACCTTAACTGTATGCAAATTCTTCACCACTTACGATATGGTACAAACGAGTTTACAGATGGCCTCGGCCATGCCTAGCCCATTCATTCATCCTAACTTCTTCATCACTTCCTGGTGTTCTCGGGGAAGCATGTTGATACAACATTGCCGATGTTTGATTACCTGTGGTTATCTGTAATTACCTATGCTTATCTTGTCATACACTAGATGCCATTTGAGCCCCTTACTTCTTTGGGCAGTGGGTGAAATGGGAGAACATAGAAAAATGTTCACTTTGACCTACGAAATGCACAAAAGGGAATGCCATGCACGATGTACGATAAAATATTTGGAGACAGGGGATCATCGTGAAATGTATTTCTGCTATTCTCACCTATTGAGGTCATTAATTATAATTGATTTAAATATTTTTTTTAACTCTACAAATACTGAGCCAAGGTTATGTGCTCTGTTAACCTAATAAAGCAAAGGAAAATATGTTGCTTTAATCCTTGCTTGTTAACCTAATAAAGCAAAGGAAAATATGTTGCTTTAATCCTTGCTGCTTTTCTCGTTTGGTGATAGAAAAGGTAAACAAGATGTAATGTTGAACTGCTGGTGATGATTTCTAAACTGACTCTTTCATACTGCTTTCCTGCGGACTTATATTAAAGATGCATTGTACACATTGTTTTAGCAGATAGATCAGAGGTATATTCAGTGGTTACCTGTTGCATTATCAGAAATGTGGTACGTGTTACAGAAGCATGAGGAAGAGAATCCTATCCTCTTTTGAAAATAGAGTTCACATTGCAAGTGACATAGAGCATTCTCAAAACCAAATTCAGAGCCTGGCACAAAATGTACAGTTCCTAGTGAAAGCTGTCTCAAAACACAGTCTTTTTGATAGATCATATTAGATCATATCTGCCATAGAAAGGCTTACTCCCTGCAATCGGAGTCAGTATCAATTCTTGCTCAAGCAAACATGTTTTACTGTGTTGGTGCAATGCCAGGAACTAGTCAAGGGTACTTTCAGACCTGGAAGGAGGAAAGAGGAGGTAGAAAATCACTCTTTTGTGCTTCTTAAACTGTCAGTCAAGAAAATTTATTCCACCCCTTCATATTTGCTCTAAAATCTGGGGCCAGTAGTTCAAATG